GCAAGTAATGTAAACCATAAAACACGTGGATAAAATATTCAGTAACTTTGTTAACAGTTATTTTATTTTCATGTTAGGACACAGCCGAACTATTATTGGAATTGAAGAGAGAAAGAACAGAACCCTCTGTTTACTAATATTTGACCCAGGCTGTCCTTCTCGGGAAATGCAAAAACTATTAAAACAAGAGGTTGAGGTCACCAGTCTCAAACAGCTCTGGAGATTTGTGGGAAACTTAAAGCATAAGCAATACCAGATAGTAACTGTAGAGGGTGTACTTTCTTCAGAAGAGAAAGTTGTAAGTATCTGAAAAAAAATTTTTTTTTATCATAAAGAAGAGATTGAGCTTATTGGCAGTTTAAAATTTCTGGAAAAAAAAGATCTCAGCATGTAATTGCATTTATTAACTGAGTAATCAGAAAGTTTTTGCTTGTATTTTCATTCACTTACTGGAAAAGAAATACTTTACTATCTTTAGATTTTCATGGCATTTATTGAAGACCTCAAAGTTTCTTGCACATTTTAAATTTAATCTCATATCAAGTATTTGGTGACTACAAACATTTTATGTATAAGGAAGTATAACTTAATAGTGAGAAAGAGCAAAATGATCATTGATGTTTCCCAAAAAGTTATTATCCCTGATGTCTTGACTTAGTCGCATGGAAGCTGTCAGAAATATCTGAATATCCAACACCTCTGTACATTTAACCCCCAAAGTGTTGCTTCATCCTTCAGGTGATAGATTATTAAGGTGATAGTTTTCATATTAGATGAACCTAAATGGAGACTTTTTCCTCCTTGGATGAACACGTTACTCTACATGTCATTTCTTGTGAAGAAAAAGCATAGACCATTGTTCTTAAGGAAAAACTCCCTGTTTAGGGACATAATGTAATGTGTATGTGTGTGTGTGTGTGTGTGTGTGTATACACATATATGTGATATAAAACATAACATAGCTTCATATTGGCTATCTCTCATACCTGTCTGGAAAGGTGTTTTAGGAAGTAGGAGCTTAATGGAGTGTTTCTTAAATATTTTGAAGGCATGTTTAAATTTATATTCATTATTTACCTGCCCTTGTGTTTTTCTCCATTACCTAGACAGAGTCTGACACTTAAGATTTTATAGGAAAGAATCTAATGCTGACAATTATGAGTACAGTTAAATAGGCGTATTTAATAATAGTGATAGCTAGGCATTTTGACACTTATTCACAATGTGGGTTATAAAGATAGCAGATAGATAATATATGAAAATTTTTAGAAAGTCTTCAGCTTAGTATTTCTTAACGAGTTAAAGAATTTTTCTCAATATAAACATATTCAGTGCTCAGCCCTACTACTGATTTTAGCCAAGTGAAACCAAAGATTAATCTAGTAATGGAATTTGTAAGTTGCACAGTTATTAATTTGTAAATAACAACTGAAATCCTATTTGGGGTTGAAGATTGCCTTAGGGTTGTGGTGGAATTTTAGAGTTATTTCCTCATATTTGAAACCTGTGGTTTGGAAGCATAGCACCAAAAATGGGTGCTTCTCAAACAATTTTTGCTGCTGACAATATTGTTTGAACTAGAAATAATACTACTGGACTTGAACCATGAGATCTGTATCTGAAGGAATATTAAGGGCAGAAGGAAGTTTTTTTGGTAGTGAGGTATAGGCATGTATGCTAAACTTCTGTTTCCATAGCTGAGTCAGTTATTTGTGGTGTATCTTTATTTCTTACATATATAGTCACCATGCTTCTTACCATAAATAAAACATCAGTCATAAAAGGCCTTTGTTTATCTCAGAGCTTTGCTTATGTAATCTTGCAGTTGCCCATTTAATTTTCTTTGTCAATATGTGACAATATTAAATATTCATTTTTCCCGAGTTGTCTGAGACACTATCAGTAATAACATAGGTGAATTTTTCATTTCTCATAAACATTTATATTCAGTGTACATATTGCACAGGGATATGGACTGGATTTCATTAATATAGGGAATTCCACAGTTAGGAAATTCCTTCTATCCCTACAGGTCAGCACTTTCTGTGCATCTTATAGTCTTAGAGAGTTGTGTGTCATATGGTAGTGTAAGGGCATTGTACTGTTTACTTTCCTCCATTTTGCAAACATAATGAATTGTCAGTTTATAAACACCAAACCCATAGCTGACAGTGGCTGTAGGTAGACATGCCAGTACAAAGTTTATCTAACACTTTTATTTTCTCACTAAGTTGCACCACTGACTTTGTACACTTGGGTTTAGAGTCCAAAGGACCTGCTCTATGCTTTGGGGGCATAATTGTATCACAAAACTTGAGTTTTAAAGACAAACGGTGAAAATATGCAACAAATGCACAGGTTGCTCTTTACAGGGTAAGATGAACAAGACCAGTAAAGGGTGCCTAGGCAGGATACCAGTTGCTACAAAAACTTGCATGCATCACATCTTTTTTTTTTTTTTCCTCCCTCTCTCTCTCTGTTGCACATAACCACAGTGTTGCACACAGTTGTACAATTCACAGTGCAAAAGTTAAAATGAGATTACTAATAAAATCATGGGAATGCTTGAAGTCACAAAAGTTAAACATGTGAATGTTGAGGATTGACTGCATGTACAAAAAATGACTAACCATTGCTTACCCTTTGATTCAGCTATACCACTGCTAGGCCTCTACCCCCATAAGATCAAAGAAATGGAAAAAGGTTTTAAATTTATAGTAGCTCTTTTTGTGCTGGCAAAAAATCTGGAAACTAAAGGGATGCCCCTAAATTGATGAATGGCTGAATAAGTTGCGGTATTTGAATGTGATGGAATACTTGTATGTGTAAGAAATAAGGAAATAGATAAATTTAAAAACATGCATAAACACAGATGAAATGATATAACATGAAGTAAGCAGAACTAGAAGAACAGACAGTTTTAAAGATTTTAATAAATGATGAAGAATGAAATGGAAGTTTCCCAGGTCTCTCTGAACCTTTTTATAATTTCTCAGTGATACTCATTTTAAAGTAGATAAGCAGAACATCTTGTTTCTCTTTTAAAAAAAAATAATTTCTTCCACAAGATATGACAATTTTGCCTTTTTTCCACTCCATTTCATTCAACTCCTCCCTAAATTCTGATCTTTCCACATTCTCTAATCCAGTCATCTCCAATCAGAGAAAACACCCTTGCTGCAAGAGCCAGTTTTAGGATTTATAACACAGCCAACTCTCATCCTCCACCACTCTCCCACCCACTTCTGCAAACTCCATGTCTCCCTTCTAAGCCTGCTGTGGGCCCTCCAGGGCATTTATAACCTAAACTGATGAATACCCATAGCAGCTGCATCAAATGTCGTTGGGAAAATTCTGTCCCTGTTTCTTAGTCTCTTAACACTTTTGCTGTGTCAGGTACCCTTTGAAGAAACTGTTGCACTTGCAGGGTAGTGACCAGTGAGAAAGAGCCCTGTCTTCCCTCTTTCATTTTGGGTAGATAAGAGTGAAGCACATAGGATAAGAAGGTGGGAATGGGGGCAGCTAGGTGGCACAGTGGATAGAGAACTGGCCCTGAAGTCAGGAGGACCAGAGTTCAAATCCAGCCTCAGACCAAACACTTGACACTTACTAACTGTGTGACCCTGGGCAAGTCACTTAACCCCAACTGCCTTGGGGGGGGGGAGGTGGGAATGGATTGTGATCTGGATTACAGGTACCCAGATGTCATTAAATGATCTCCATCCCACCACCAACTGCATTCCATCTGTCTTTTAAATTTCCCTATTTACTGTCTACTGCACCACCATCCTTTGTGTCACCTAGATTCTCCCAACCCCAGTATCTTCTTTACTTGGACTATTGCAGTGGCTTCCTTTTTTGGTCTTGAAGCCTCATGTCTTTCCAGCTCCATTCCATTCTCTGCTGAGCTGCCAAATTGATTTTCCTATCTAAGTCATTCCCGTATCATTGCAGTGGTTCCCTATTGACTCTAGGATCAAATATTTCCTTTTTATCTCATCACTTTAATTTTTACTTTTGCAGTAAGTTTTATCATGTCCATAATTATCAGTAGAGGAGAACATGTACAAAGTTTCCAAGTAAATATACCCATTGGAGTCTGCTCATATTTGCTGCTGGTAAGAGTGTAAGATCAAAAACATTTGGAGACTCTTGTTCTGATCTATAACTTTGCTGGGATAGATAACTATGAGAGAGAACTATGGGAGAGTTTGCTGCTACTTTCTAGAATTTAAGATTTGCTATTTCTTTTCGGGGTGCAGCTTTATGAACTACAAGCCCCAAATTTTAATTGTAATATTGTAAATTATACATGTTCTAATAATTTTGCTTACCTTTTAACTAATGTGTTTAATTCTCTTTCAAGGCTCGGATGAAAGCTTCTCAAATCTTTACAGCTGAGAGGATTCCTTGAAGTACTACAATTCCTAGATGACCTGTGCCATTTCCTGAATTCAGAAATAACTCATACGTGCAGCTTACTAATCTGTATGTGTTTACTAAGCACTCAGCTGTTGAGAGTACTTTTACAGATTTTCTAAAATGTAATTTAGATGTTTTTAGCTGTTGTTGCTAGTTCTTTCATTATTTAATAATTGACTTAATAAACTCTCTGTTGCATTGAAAGAGGTTTTGTTTTCCTGCTTCATATTCATAAAAATTCCCATTTTATTGTTATAGGAAAAAGAATGTCTTAATTGTACCCACAAATTAGAAATTAGTTATTTTTCAATATAACAAGTGTCTGAAGATGTCTTTGAATTCATGTCTTCCTGACACCAGGCACAGCGCTTTATCCACTGTTTTGTTGTGGTTCAGTCATATCAGTTGTGTCTGATTCTTCATGACCCCATTTGGGGTTTTCTTGGCAAAGATACTGCAATGGTTTGCCATTTCCTTCTCCAGCTCATTTTACAAATGAGGAAACTGAGGCAAACAGGATTAAGTAACTTGCCCAGGAAGTACCTGAGGCCAGATTTGAACTCAGGAAGATGAGTCTTCCTAACTTCAGGCCTGGAGAGTCACCACTTAGCTATTATAAAGCAGCAATAATCGAAACCATTTGGTACAGCTAAAATAAATAGAAAAGTAGATCAACATCACACTAGAAAAGGAAAAATCAAATGACAATCCAGTGTTCAGTAAAACCAAATCATAAATTACATACAAAAGAACTTTTTATTTGGTAAGAACTACTTGGAAAATAGGAAAGCAGTCTGGCAAAAATTAGACTTAGACCAACATTTTCCACTTTTCCACATTAAGTTAAAAATGAATACATGACCTGAATATTAATGATAATACTTTTAAAAAAATTATAAGAAGAGAAACAGATCGCATACCTTTCATGTTTATGGATAAGGAATGAGTTCTTAAATAAAGGATAAAAACAGTTACAAATATTTTTGTATTGTAATCAATAAATATAAATCAAAAAATATTGTAATCAATAATTTTGATTACATGAAATTGAAAAGCTTTTGCTCAAACTGAACACATTTTTTAAAATAATGTTTTTTCAATTACATTTAAAGACAATTTTTAACATTCAGATTTTTTAAATTTTGAGTTCCAAATTTTCTCCTTCACCTCCCCCCTCCCTAAGATGGTAAACAAATTGAAATAGGTTCTATGCGTGCAATCATGTAAAACATTTTAATATTAGTCATGTTTTAAAGAAGAGACAGACCAAAACAAAAAAAAACATGAAAAAAAAACTGAAAAATGGTATGCTTTGATCTGCATTTAGACTCCATCAATTCTTTCTCTAGATATGGATAAAAATTTTTTCATCATTAGTCCTTTGTTGCTGAAAATAGGTCATTCACAGTTGATTATCATACAATATTACTGTTACTGTGTACAATGTTCTTCTGGTTCTTCTCATTTCACTTTGCATCAGCTCGTGAAGGGCTTTCCAGGTTTTTCTGACATTAGCCTGCTTATCATTTCTTTGTAGCATAATAGTATTCCATTACTATCATATACCACAACTTGTTTAGCTATTCTCCACTTGATGGGCATCCCCTCAATTTCCAGTTCTTTGCCACCATAAAAAGAGCTGCTTATAAATACTTTTGTACAAATAGGTCCTTTACCTTTTTTTTTTCATCTTTTTGGGATACAGACTGATTTTTGATTTTTCATACTGATTCAATTTTGTTGATTTGATATTTTATTAAATTATTTTTCAATAGATGAGGAATAATTGGAAGATTGACATATACTAGTTTTTATACCAGCAATTCAAACAATGAAATATGGATATAGTTTGAACAACCTTCTGATATCCTGGTTCAAAAGGTTTAGAAAATTGAAGTTTAGTTTCCATTGGAGCTGTTTCATTCAGGCATTTTTCAAAACAAAATTTAGTTCCATTTTTAAAAATTGAATTTGGTTTATGATTCGTCACATTTTCTTGGTTTTTGTTTTTACAGTTGCAAAAGTTTATCCAAAATTGACTATTTTAATCATGGTAGCATCAGAATATCTTATCTGGGGCTGATAGTTACGTTTATGGGTTCCACTTTACCTGAACATATTTTATAATCAAAACAATTATCAGGTAATAGAGTTTAAATATTTGCTGGAACATTTATAGTAGATTAAAGAATCATAAGCCAAAGCTCAAAGTAGATAAAGGGCAGTGGACCTGAAATCAAGACCTTGGTTTGAGCCCCACTTCCACTATTTCCTTCCTATATTACACCATTTACTCAAGATATAGGATGTGGGGCAAGTCACTGAATTTTTCTTTTTCTTTCTTTTTTTTTTTTTTGCTTAGGCAGTTGGGGTTAAGTGACTTGCCCAAGGTCACACAGCTAGTAAGTGTCAAGTGCTTGGTCTGAGGTCGGATTTGAACTCAGGTCCTCCTGACTTCAGGGTCAGTGCTCTATCCACTGCGCCACCTAGCTGCCCCGATCACTGAATTTTTCTAAGTGTATTTTCTCATGTGTAAAAAGGGGATAATATCTGTTCTTCCTTGCTATGAGAATGCAATTTAATAATATTTGTAGAAATGTTTTATAAACTGTAAAGCACTATCTAAATGAAAGGCTTTTTCTCAGCGCAGTTAAATTTATAAAAATTTATGTTAACTGCCTTCCTTTTTAAGGGTACTTTCCTTCTACTCTGTATGTACCCATTTATTAACATGTTGTTTTCCCCATTAACTCTCCCATATAAACTCCTTGAGGGCAGGGACTATTTTTTGCCTTTGTTCATATCTCAACATTTAGCACAGCACCTGGCACATTCTAAGCACTTAATTAATGCTAACTGATTGATTGAAAAATGTGTTTATTGAGCAGTAAAGCCGCTGACCAGTAAATGCTTAATCCTTTCAAAAAGTTTAAAAGACCATAATTGAGTATTTTTAAACCTAATTTCCTCATAACAGCCATATGCTGTTCTAATAGATACAACTGAAACATGTCACATGGCTGGGGCCAAATTAGCTGCTTGTCACAGCTGTTGTCCCAAGCAGAACTTGTCATAACAGTTCTCTAAATCATAGAGGCTTCTTTGGTGGCAATCTGTTAGTATGTTTGTCTTCAGATGTTTGGAATCTCTTCCACAGTTTGTAAAATGGATTAGTATACCAATATGATTGTCAATCAACTACTTTACTAAGCTGGAAGAAATGGCAAACCACTACAGTATCTCTGCCAAGGAAACTCCAAATGGGGTCACAAAGAGTTGGACACAACTGAACAGCAACAATACTTTACTAGGAGACATCGGCATCATTATTAAAATAGCAGGGTACAAGACAGGTAGATCAGAGCCACTGACACTGGGAGACCTGAAATATGTTCCCAGGGAAATTTATCTCCCACTTGTAAGTTGACAATGATTACAAGGGCAATGAGGTTCAATAAGGATATAGGTAGAGACTGCACCTGTGATTACATTGGAATGAGAGATTCTGGATGAGGAACCCCTCTCGCCCAATGCAGGTCAACACCTTCTAGGCAACTTAAAATCTTTGAGTTGTCTTGAGTGTTGAGATTTTTAGGTGATTTGCCCAGAGGTCACACAACCAGTACGTGTCATCAGCAGAATTAGAACCTGGCTCTTCTTGGCTTATTCTGCTTTTTTATAGAATGAGATTTTGTTTCAATTCTTAATTATATAGCAATAGTATTTGTGTTTCTGGATCTACATCAGGACTTAATAATGTTCTTGTATCATAGACCCTTTTGGCAGTTTGGTGCCTAGGGACCCATTCTCAGAATAATGGTTTTAAATAATTGAAGGAAATGCTACATTTTAGTTAAAACTTAATAAAAATAATGATGACATTATTTTTTCCTTATGCAAGTTTAAAGGCTCCTGAAATCTATAGTCTGTGGACTGTAGGTTGGGAACCTGTAATCTATATAATACTTTTCCCCTGAAGAATTTAAAGTTTTCCATTTTTTTTTTCATTCTCTTTCTCACGTAGTAAAGGAATGTATGTCTTGGGATAAAAATATCAAAATTTGGGATTTTAAAATAATTTTTCTCAAAACAAAATATGGCCTAAGTCAAATTGACCTCTAAATTGACCATTTTCTAAAGCATAATTGAATTTAGGATCATAAAATTTTAGAATTACTTAGCACTTATAGATGGCGGAAGTTGGGCGGCAGGGAAGCACAGAGAGGCTAAGTAACTTGCCCAAGATCACACAGTCAGTTAGTGGTCAAGCTAAGATTTTCCTAATTTCCTATTCCATACTGCCCTTACTAATTTGTAGGCATTTTTTATAGTGATATAAAGTATCAGTGTCACTACTTTTATCCTGCCATTTAAAAATACCTGTCTGGAACCATATAAGAGCTTCGTATAAGAAACATCAAATTTCATATCTTCAAGGAATTACATTCCTGAACATGATTAGTTGCTATTATTACTCACACTTGAGGTACTGAGTTCGTTTTTCCATTCTTATTAGTCATCTTCATCTTCATCATCATCATCTTCTTCTTCTTCAGTCTCTTCAATTTTTTCAGATTCAAATAAAGCTTTCTCTTGGGCAACCTGGAAAGCCTGCTCCTCATCCACAGTGGGGTCATCTATCTCCATGATATCTATCCCCCTGGGGTACTCTGGTTGAACAAGTGGTGGAAGTGGAGGTGTATAATTGTCTGGACTGTATTTATGACCCCAACCTATGTAAAGATTCTCAAACTTTCTGTAAACAAAAGGATGATTACCATATAAGTTTTTAGAAAGAAAAGTAAAACCTGAATGGGTTATAACAGTGAACAAACATTGGAGAGCTTTACATTTCTCTAGCCCTAAACAAAACTTCAGTTAGAAGTAGTAGAGGTGAAATATCCCTCAGGATCTATCCTATCAGAGGAAACTTCCTTACCATAAGTACTAAAGCTGATGGCTATCAATATTAGTAATAATTGTGTCTGAAACATGAACAAAGGAACCAAGGAAATCCCAGGAAAATTAGAACTAGATGTTAAAGATCTGTTTCAATATCTTTAATATCTAGTCTTAATTTTCCTAGGAATTCCTTGGTTCACAAAATACAATTTGTCATTTACATTTTTGTGTCTTTTAAATGTTGTATAAAGAGATCATTTAGCTAAATACTCTCATAGCTAACCTGAAAGATTCCATTAGTCTTCTCAAAGTCTTGACTGTGTGTTGGTAAAATCATTAGGAAAGAGTAGTAAAGGTATATGTTCTAAGTAGGGAAAAAGACATTTACTCTCCTTTTGATCATAATTCCCTTCATTTATATCTTAACCACAATTTAAATAAATTAGCAGAGCCTTCCCTTACCCATTATAGATCTCTCATCCCATGCCAATGAAAAAAGCAAATACCCCTAAATGTAAAATGATTTAAGTACTGTTTAGATTTTCCTTCACTAGAAAAATAAAGTGAATTACAGAAGCAATTAACAAGAGAATTTGACAAGGTGGAGAATCTTTGGTCTCAATACATTCAGAGGATGACTGTGACAAAGAAAGGTGATTGAATTATTCTGATAATTTCCTAAATTATCTGCTTTGTTTTCCTTAGGGTCTGGTTATTGTGTGAAATCTTTGTAAATTATTAAGGGGTATCTTGTAATGACTGTATAGCTGTCAGTACTTACTTGCCATCAGAAAAGACATATGCTCCAAGCCAAAGGTTAGATCGAAGGAATGCAATAGCATATTGAGGAATCAAATTTGAAGATAACTGGGCTGTCCAAGGAGGTGTGTTCTGAATTTCTATGAACCAAAGATAGATAAGATAGATAATTTTTACTTTTGAAAGCCAAAACTGGGTAGTGGAAAGAGAAGAAAATCAAATCAGTTTTATCTCTGACACATATTAGCTAAGTGAATTATAGGCAAATTACTTATGCTCTTGGTTCTGCAGGTACCCATCTAAGACCATAAGTTACAGACAATTTGCTAATGCCATTGTTGGAGGGAGTTTCCATATAACTAATTTTCTATACCTAAGAAATCATAGTCCTGGCTCTCACCAAATAATGTTTTTACCTCTTAGGCACATGTAGGATGTGCATTATGGATAGATATAACATCTCATTTTCTACAAATCTGCTAAAATACATGAGTCAAGAAGATGAGACAGAAGCAGGAGAACAATCGCTTAAGGTCCAAAGCTATTAAATAAAAGGTCAAGTCCTATAAATGAAAGCAAAGGCTACTGACTCCAAATCTACATTAAGTGGTAAACAAAAACAAAAGAAGAATAAATATAAAAATGATGGGAAATGTGTTAGAAATCTAAAAGTCAGTATTATGAATCAACCAACAAGCATTTATTAAGTGCCTATTTAATATACATATATACATACACATATATATGTATATATATACATATATATATAGAGAGAGAGAGAGAGAGTGTGTAAATATAAGATTTGAGGGTGGGGGTGGGTAGGGAGGAGGGTGGCACTAACAGCCAAGGAGGGGTTAGGAGAGGCTTCGTGTAGGAGGTGTCATTTGAATTGACATTTGAAGACAAGTTTGAATTCTAAAGGAAGAGGTGAAGAAGGAGTGCCATTATAGACATGAAGGACTTTACAAAGGCATAGAGATAGAAAATGGGATAATGGTGTATATGGAACAGCAAGAAGGCCAATTTGCCTGGACCATGGCACATGTGAAAAGGAGTAGCATATAACAAGCCTTGAAAAGTAGGTTGCAGCCCAGTTATGAAGAGTTAGATGCCAAACAGAGGAGTTCATAATTGATCTTAGAGGTAATAAGGAACCATGGGAATTTACTGAGCAGAAAATTGGCACCAGTGTAGACGATGTACTAGTGAGAAGAGAAGCTCAAGGCAAGAAAGCCAATTAGGAGGCTGTTGCAATAGCACAGGAAAGAGGTTTTGAGGGTCTGAACTGAGGCAATACTATATAAAAATATACAAATGTATTCTGTACTTTATTGAGTTGACAACCTATACCATGCATACCAAAGGTGCCACATGGGCCAGTTCTCATCAATGTGAGACATTTGTGAGAACCACATCTAATAAAATTTTTTCATGATTCTAACCAGTCATCAGTCAACAAAGCTTTGCTGCATTCCAAACTCCCAATGCAGCCCAGGTACCTCAGAAGAAAATAATAATAATAACTAAAAATTTATATAGTGCCTTATGGTTACTTTAAAATACTTTACACCCATTATTTCATTTAAGCCATGCAACTACGCTGTGAGGTAGGCGGTGCAATTACCATTCATTTTTCAGGTGAAGAAACTGAATCCGAGAGAAGCTAAATAACTTGTCTAAGGTTATATAGTTAATGAGTGGCAAAGAGGGGTTTCACATCCAGATTACCTAACTCTAAATCCAGTACTCTTTCCACTCCACTTCAAGCTATGACAAAAAAGAGGTGAGAACTCTGGCACATCACTTTTCAAAGGCTAATATCTCTCTGTATGTGTATACACACATGCATGTATCATATATGTGTATTCTAGATATTTTATAGTATTTTTGTAATTATGAATCCATGTGTGTATAAAAATACCTAAATCTTCAGAGATTGGAGTCAAAAGAGGTGGCCCCATTTCTGGTTCAATGTTATCTGGCTCCTCTCTTTTTTCTTCTACTTCTTCCTCTTCTACTTCGTCCTCTTCCTCTTCCCCTACTTCACTTTTTTGTATGGGGTTAAACCAGTTACACCGGCCCTATGGAACAAAAGTTAGAAGGCTAATAAGAATCTTCAACCTATGATAGCAGTTCTGTGATAATAATAATTCACAACGATTATGATAAATTTTAGAGTTCATCATTTTCTAATAGTAATTCTGGGAGGCAAATAGTGCAAGAATTATTATTCCCATTTTTCAGATAAGGAAACTGGAGACTCAAAGAGCTGTGACTTGCTGCTCATCACATCACTAGTAAGAGCTGAAGCTAGAGCTCAAAGTCAGGTTCTTCGATGGGAAGCCCGGTATTATTTCCACAGCACCACCAACTTATGTTAAAATGGGCCTAATTAAATTATGATAATTTTAGTAAAAATCATACTTTGAAGAGGAATTTTATTCAACTATACAGTTAACTCAAACAAAAGTAGATTGTAACTATTGTTTCTATTATTGTTTTACAGTGATTTTCAAACCTCCTGAAGCAAGGAATGTTTGTGTGTGTGTGAGTGTGTGTTTCTATGTGTATGTTATCCCAAAAATCTTAGTGCAGTTTTAAGTTATTAATGCTCTATGTATATGTGTACATATGTATTACATATTTACATATGTATGGCATATTTATTTTACATATGTATTACATATTTTACATATGTACGACATATGACTTTTGGGATACCCCGTATTTTTAACCATTTTATCATCAATGATGCACATGAAGAGGTCATTAGAAATAATATAATAGGGGGCGGTGCAGTGGATAGAGCACTGGCCCTGAAGTCAGGAGGACGTGAGTTCAAATCCAGCCTCAGACCAAACACTTGACACTTACTAGCTGTGTGACCCTGGGCAAGTCACTTAACCCCAATTGCCTAAAAATAAAAAAATAAATAATATAATAAGAAGAATAAATGAGTAAATATTAAGACAATAATATTTGTAATGTGTCAAAGGTATATTCTGCTTTTGGTACCTACTGGCTAAGTGACTCTAGATAAGTTATTTAAAATCTTAGCATTGCAGTGAACGCTCCAAAAAATGTGGTGTAGAACAGGTGTCAATCTTTATTTGATGTTAATTTCTTCAAGTGGAATTCCCTATCCTGACAAAATTAAAAAGAGGGAAGAGAGAAGGAAGTGGGAGCAGAGAGAAGAAAGAAAAGAAGAGGAAAAAAAAAAGAAAATAAATGAGAAGAGATGAGAAAAGATGGGATGAGATGGGGATAGCTATAGTGAAAGCTATAGTTTCTCACTTTTCTTTTATGTAATTCATTATCTTTTTCATGTTTTTCCTTCTGTGAGTTATGCTAAAATAATTGTAGTATGCCTTCGACAAATGAGTGGCAATAATTATATGTTCTCTGACATAGTTTTTGAATATACTTGGTAATAAGTGTACCACTATGGTGAAATAGGAATGTGATTTAAAGAAAAGGAACAAGAACCTAAAAATAATATGCTTCCATAAAATTAAAATGTGAAAAAAATAGATAATTTCCCAAACTCACCTAAATACTACTTTATTTGAAGTAGTTCACAGAACACTACTAGTAAGTGGCACACTTGAGGCAGTTAGGTGGCACAATGGATCCCTATCCTATCCCTGGGATCGAGAAGAATTGAATTCAAATTTGGCCTCAGGCCTGCTAGCTGTGTGACCCTGGGCAAGTAACTTCTATCTGCCTTAGTTTCCCCAACTTTAAAATGGGGATAATAATAGTATCTCTCTCAAGAAGGGAAAAATCAAATGAAATAATATTTATTTATAGTCATTTGGGGTTAAGTGACTTGTCCAGGGTCACACAACTAGTAAGAGGCCACATTTGAACTCAGGTCCTCCTGACTTCAGGGCTGGTGCTGTATCCACGGCGCCACCTAGCTGCCCCTGAGATAATATTTATAAACCACTTGGTACAATGCTTGGAACATAGCAGTTATTAACAAATGCTTATTTCCCTCCTTCCTACAGTTTGAAAGTCTCTAATCGATGACATTTATTTGGTATTCTGACTTGTATTTTTAGTTGATATTTTTGTTCCTTTATAAAGCTCTTTTGCTAAACTATAAACTCCTTAAGGGACTATTGTCTTATACTTGTCTCCCACACAGTAGAAATTAAATAAATAATGATTGATTGATAGATTGAGAACTTCCAGGAGCATACCTGAGGTAGAATATGTTGCACATGGTGAACCCAGTTGGACAGGGATTCTACTAGCTCAGTGACTCGGATGCCTTCAAAATCAGGATTCTTCTCATAATTATCCTGTCCACCTTCTACCTCTTCCTCCTCTTCACCTTCTTCTCCAAAATGATAGAAACCTAGAGGGCTAATGTGAGTTCCTGCTGAAATTCGAGCGATTTGCGCCCGCAAGTAATTACTCTCATTTCCTGGAAAGGGGGGATAACTCCTGATAGGAGCATCTAATCGTCCAGTGAAATATTTCTTGATTTTCCTTGCAATAACAATTTGTGCTGGTGTCACTGACGGTAAGCTTACCCAAGGCCTTCCTGGCTCATTGCACACAAAGTAGGTGTATTTGTTGGCACCTGTTCTGTTGTCTTCTTTTGGTATCACTTGTGGGCCCTTGTAAGAAGACTTAGGTAATTCATCTTCCTCATCTTCATCTGCCTCACTTTCTTCAATGTTATCTTCCTCTTCTATCTCCTCTTCATCTTCCCCTTCACGGAATTCCACTTCAGCCACAATGTAATTCATCTCTAGACCCAAGATTTTCCCCCAGAAGCGGCATGTGTGTATTGGTTGTGTGTCAGTGAGCTGTTTGAGGGCAAGAAAAATGCGGTAGGTTTCATCTGTACTTAAACCAACTCCGGCTTGCTCAAAATAGAAAGCTGATTCCATTATATTTGGAAGAGGGGTTTCTGCCTTAAGAGAGAAATACATTAGAATGTCAGATACAAGCAGGGGTGTTGAAAAACTTAAATGGGATAATGGTTGTAAAGCATTTTGCAAACCTTAAAGTGTTATGTGAATGTCAGTTATTATTATTACTATTAATTATTATCATTATTATTATCATACAGGCACCAGTCCTCCAGTCTGGTAATAGCTTCACTCCTTGAGTCTTTTACTGCATTTCTGATGAACTCAAGCAATGTTTATCAAGCAATACAGGAGTATGCTGATAAATGTTTAGCAAGGCTCTTTAGGGGGAAAATATATGCACGTGTATTTTTCAATTTAGTCAGTATTATTAACACTTTCTTAAGTCTAGACAATCAACAAAACTATAAATCAAGCCCTGATTTATAGCAATTGTCGATTTCCAGGGTAATATACTCACACTGAAAATTTATCATCTCTCACAGGCCAATAGAACTAGCTCCTGCACACCACTGAATACAAGAGAATCTATTTACATTCCTTTCTTCACCTGCATTCCCTTGAATGCTTTACTAATTCCAATCACAACACTTTTGTTCATGTTACTGCTGACACCCACAGTGCTGTTCCACCAACCTCTCAGCCAGTTTATCTTCTCAATTCTTAATTCGATATCATCCTGTAGGGATGAGTCCCTAGCTCAATAACATCTTTATCACTTATTTATTTTACATTCTCTTTTATTACTAACATAGGAGGCTTTTATCCTATCATCTTATACTTACTTTAATATTTCAAGGATTTCTGATTTCATTTCTTATAGGTATTCCCTTGCAGGGACACAGATCACAACTCTTCTATATACAAGTAATAGTCTTTGTGAGTGGGTGTGGCAGAAAAATCCATCAACTTGTGACCAAGTTCATTTCCTTTTTTGACAAGACTCAGAGGACTATCATTGACATAGCACATCTAGATTTCAAGAAAGCATTTGAAAAAGTCTCTCCCTCATGGCTGGGCATGGTGCCATACACTTGTGTCATAATCCATGCTTCTAGGGAAGGCTGAAGCTGGTGAATCACTTTTAAGTTGGGGGTTCTGAGTTGCAGCAAGGCTAAAGCTGATCAGGTGTCTTCAATAAGTCTGACACCAATATGGTGAGTCCCTGGGAGTGTCAGGTCACCAGGATGTTTAGAAGGGGCAAACTGGTTCAGGTTGGAAACTTGATACAAGTTAAAGCTTCCATACTGACCAGCATTTGGATCAGGTCCCTAATTATGACTCCTGCATTTCTAGCCTAGGGGAAATAGAGAGACATAGGAGAGAGAAACAGAGAGACAGAGACAGAGAGACAGACAGAGACAGAGAGAGAGACAGAGAAGCAAGAAAGAGAAAAAGAAATAGAAGAAAGAAGGAAGAAAGAGAAGGAAGGAAATTTAAAAAAAAAACAAAAAAAAGAGAAAAGAAAATCTCCCATGTTAACTAGTAGAAAAGATGTGAACTAAATGAACATACAATTAATTATGAAAGCAGAACTAGTTGAATGATTTGATTCATGCCAAGAGTAATCATTAAAGGCTTGATTATAACTTGGAGGGAGATCACTAGTGGAATATCTATCCTTGGCCCTGTTCTGTTCTTTATTTTTATCATAGTCTTAGGAAATGATATCAATTTATAGGCTACATGTAGCCAGGATGAATACCCAAAATATTGGATGACAATCAGGGGGCAAAAAGATCTCAATAGGCTAGAATCATGGGATGAATCTAAGAAAATGAAATTTAATAAGTATAATGTCCTACCTCTGGGTCCATAAAAATGTACTAGTGAATTATATGGGACACAACAGTTTATATGAAAAAGTCCTGAGTTTTTGTTCATGGGCTGCAAACTTAAAATGTGCCAGCTTTCAAAATGACAGCGTCCAATATGGTAGCCAAAAGTGCTAACATGACAATAGGTTATGTTAAGAGATTCCTGAAGTTCAGAATGAGGGATGTGATGTTTCCACTGCACTCTATCTTGATCTGTTTGCATATAGAATATTATACTAAGTTCTAGGTGCCCCATTTTAGGAAGGGCACTGTTAAGCTGATGAGCATCCAGAGCATCCAGGATGATAAAGACTGGGACTATGCCATATTTCATATAAGAAGCATTTATTAAATGTCTAGGGGCAACTAGGTGGCACAGTGGATAGAATGCTAGGCCTGGAGTCAGGAAGACTCACCTTCCTGAGTTCAAATCTGGCCTCAGACACTTCATAGCTGTGTGACCCTGGGCAAGTCACTTCACCCTGTTTGCCTCAGTTTCCTCATCCGTAAAGTGAGCTAGAGAAGGAAAGGGCAAACCACTCCAATATCTTTGAAAGAAAACCCCAAATGGAGTCATGAAGAGTCGGACATGACTGAACAAATTAAGTGTCTGTTGTGTGCTATTCACTGGACACACAAAGACAAAAAGAAAAACAACTTTTAGCCACAAGGAGTTTACTTTCTACATTGGGGGGAGGCAATATGTACACAAACTAGTAATATAAAATACATACAAAGTAAATAAGTGTGTGGAGGAAGGGGTCAAGAGCTCTAACAACTGAGAGGATCAGGAAAGGATTCCTATAGGCATGATTTTTTTATACTCCATAAGGGTATAATTACACAAAGATGTAACTTTTCACACTTCATGTAGTAGGTTTGTTCTGAGCCTTTCACAAAGTTAGGGATCTTAAGGAACAGAGAAGAGGGAGTGCATTCCAGGCACTTGAAACAGTTGATGAAAATGAACAGAGCTGGAGGATTGAACTGGGTACGTACAGAACAAGTAGCCCACTTTGGCTGCTAAGTAGAATGATTGATTAATTGTTGTCCTTTGTTCCTGAAGAGGACCAAAATAACATCACTACATTAGAGTCAAGTTACAGTATATCTGACTGTGGCCAATCAGAACAACATGAGCTCAGAAGGCTCTATCTACCACAGGTCGGGCACAAATAGTCCATGTGAATGGGTAGGCTAGTTGTCCTCTGGTATTTCAAGAACTGTCATATGGAAGAGATATTAGGCTTGTTTTGTTTGGCTCCAGAGAGCAGAACTGGGTGCTATCTATGGAAGTTGAGGAGGGGCAGATTTAGGCTTGGTGTTTCAAAAAGCTTCCTATCAATTAGAACTATCTAAATGTAGGATGGGCTGCCTTGGGAGGCAGTGGGTTCCTCCTCACTGGAGGTATTCAAGCAGAGACTATCACTTTTGGGGACCATTGTAATGATAATTCCCATTAAGGTGTTGGTTGGACTAGGCCTCTGAGAATCTATAATTCTATGACTACTCTTTGGATTCAGTCATGCATCTACTACCAAATCTACAACTACATTAATGGTTATTCCTTTTTTTTGTATCCATCAAAGCACTAGAAGGCGTTCTATAAGTCATTAATGAATAAGGGAATGAAAATTATCATCAGATGAAGTCTAGCATCCAAGGTCCTCCAAAATTGATACCACTTCACCTAATAAGGCTTTGTACTCTTTCTATTCCAAGCAAGCCTGTCTCTTTACACGCTCCCTTGCCCCTCCAATGCTCATGCCCCCTACACGCACACACACACACACACACACACACACACTCACATACATACACACACACACTCACACACACACACATACATACACACACAGGTATAGAGAGGAGATAAAGGAAGTAATAATAGTATTTAGATTTGAAGATTACCAACAAATAAACATCCCAATAACATGGTTTAATGGAAAGAACATTGGAGGTTGAAGCCCTAGAATGAATCTTCTCCAAAGACTTAGTAATGGACTGATTCAATTTCTAGTGTTGCCATATACTAGTCATACGAACTTAACTCAGTAACAACCTTCATCTCAATTTCTTCACCTTTATAATGAGGATAATAATATTGCCCATCACAATGAATTGTAATGAAGATTTAATATGACACAATATATGAAAGTACTTTGTAATTTCTAATGTAATATAAACATAAAGTTGTGTTGTTACATGAGAGGCAGCATAGCACAATGGATAGAAAACCAACCTTGTAGTCAGGAAGACCTGGATAAAGGTCCTCTCTCTGATAAATATTACCTATGGGACCCTGGGTAAATTGCTTAACTTCTCAGTATACCATCCAGTTTTCTCAAACTATAAACCACAGACAAGGTACAGGGGAGTTAAACAGGGGTTCCTAGTACCAATGGAATCACAAATCTGTCTTCTTTTCTCCCACTAAAATATATATTATGTGCAAATATGCTAACTAGAACTTCACTACTGAGAATTATATATAAGATTAGTTTATCTTGAGCCCTCCAACGATATTTATTTTGTAACCCTCCAAAAGAACATTCTAATATATGCTGCCTCATTTATAAAGCAAGTCTTTGGCATCGATCCTTCAAGATATTTTATAGCAGAACTAAAGAGAATTACAGATACTTAAATGTGGTTTTAAAAAAAATCTTAGTGTACATTTCATATGAGAATATTAAAGTGTTTAATTAGAAATTAAGTAAGTCTATTTTGGTGGATTGTTATTAAAGAAGGGTATGAAGAATTATGAATTATCTGACTCAGGGGCTTTTGATCTTTTTTTGTGTCATGAACTCCTCTGTCAGTCTGGTGAAGTCTATAAACCAACTTCTTCTCAGAATCATGTTTTTAAATAACTGAAGGAAATTATACATTTTTATGAGAAGTTAGAGAAAATAAATGTATATTTTTCCCCATTCAAATTCATGGACCCTCTGAAATCTATCCACAGGCACCTGGCATTTTGTAGACCTCTTACCCCCTGGTTAAAAATTCCTAATCTAAATAAAGATAAAAATTAGCCACAGGGCCAGGAACATACATGACATTTTTATTCTTCTAGGATAGCATCTGCTTAAACTAACAAATTTATAAACAAAGAGATAGGCTCAAGATGGCATCTACGAATAGTCTCACTTACTACCGAAGCATCTGGGAAACAGAATAATAAGTGCATACTACATACACAGGCAGCTAGGAAATAGAATAATGGATTCTATTTGGAAATTTGCACATCAGAAATTTGAGTTACTACATCACGTATTCGATAATTAGAGTATACTATCCTTATGTCTCATACTAGCTTACTCTGATCTGTGAAGAATCGTTCACAGATTCTTATAACATATGCAGGAATGATCTCATTTTTCCACTTTCTTGTCAGCCCTTCCTGAATCATCTCACATTCTCATCTCTTAACAACTTGTGTAAAAAAAAAAAAAGAAAAAAAAAAGAGTAATATAAGCAGGCCAGTCTGGGTAAAGATTCAAAGGAAGCCCAAGTAAAGGCAGTCATTTAAAGACAGACTTTCAATTGTTCTACATTTGTTCATGCAATAAACATTTATTAAGCATTAACTAAAATAATAACATTTACATAACACTTCTATAGTTTATGAAGTACTTTCATAATGTCTCATTCCCTTATTTGATTTCTTCAATAACCCTATAAGTAGGTAGCATAAGTATCATGTCTATTTTCTAAATAAAGAAACTAAGGTCCATTGCCTTTTTTTGTATCCCTTGGTTTAGCACAGTACCTAGCACCACACTAGGTGCTTAATAAACGTTTAGAGAGTAATTGACTGACTTGTACAAGATTATACAGTTAGCAAGTGGAAGAACCTAGGCTCAAATCCATCACATTTGGGTTTCTTCCATTATACTATTTTACCTCTCTGTAGAAGGCAGCTAGGTAGCACAGTGAATAGAGTGCCACTGGGCCTGGAGTCAAGAGGACCTGAATTCAAATCCAGCCTCAGACACTTGGGCAAGTCACTTAACACTGTTTGCCTCAATTTCCTCATCTGTAAAATGAGCTAAAGAAGGAAATACAAACTACACCAGGATCTTTGCCAAGAAAACCCCAAATGGGGTCATGAAGAGTTGGACAAGATTGAAATGGCTGATAAACAACAACCTCTCCGTAGCAGGTAATATGTTTGATGTATTTTTACATAAAATGACCAAAATATTGTCCCTGCCACAGGGATAGGAACTGGACTTCTGATTTCATTGATATAGGGACCTCCTAGATAAGAAATCTCTCTCTCTACTAATAATTTGGTACTTCCTTTCCAACTTATAGTCTTATAGAGTTACAGTACCATAGAGCACTGAAAGGTTAAATTACTTGCCCAGGATCACACAGTCAGTGGGTTTCCTAGCTTCAAGGCCAGCTCTTTATTTACTATATCATGCTGCTTCTCTCCCCTGCCACAAAAGACTTTAAAAATGCATTTAAGTAGATAAGGCAAGAATATAAGGAGACTCTAGAAAATTTAAAATGCTAACGTACAACTTTACAAATTTGATGGTGATGGGGTGCTTGTGCTTGGACCCCATTATCTCTCCCTTATCTTTCCCCAGGCCAAAGACCCTATCTCTGGCAATAACTCATGAGTAGGCCCACTGAGGCAAACTATCTCTCCCTGCTACAGGAACAAGCTGACTTCTGTAGAATTTCCCTTGTATGAACAGTACTATCTTGTACCAGCTGAAGTACCATGTACTGATTCCCACAGTTACTATATACAAGCCAGAGGTCAAGTCATAGATGTCAACTCCCAAGGCTATCTTGTTACAGACATAGATGTACAGACATGCAGACCCCTTAGAAGTCCCCCCCCTACCCCTCCAGGTGATGCGAGATAATGAATGACACCTGAGCCCAAGGTACAGAAACTGTATGTTCAGCACCTACTTAGCATTCTTGGCACACATTCACTGATCTTTTTCTGTATAAGCTTTAGCATCACTCCTGTTAGGTTGTGAATTCCCTAAAGGAGCTCTGCCTGCCTTTATTTGTGTTATAATAAACTTTTTGCCACTTGACTGGAAGACCACTTGAGTCTGTGAATTCTTTCCAGACAACTCCGCCCCAAACCTTGGTATTTTGGGGTCCCTGCACTCCTAAAATTGCATCAATGGGAAATCCAAAGCAAAGGAATGATTAGTGTTTAGGTTAATTAATTAATTAATGATTAGATGAGATAAGTTGGAAAATGCTACCTGAAGAACACTTGACAAAGACAAAGGTAAAAATAGTTCATAGAGAACTATGAAATAAGAAGGTATGATTTTTAAATTAAAAAAAATTGACCATAGTGACTTACTATTTCATCTTCCTGTTCTTGATCACCTTCTAAATTTCCTTGGAGAAAAAGTGTTTTTTGCTTCTCTGCTAGTTCATATGCCAAAGGTACCTCATGTTCATCTTGGAGTGTGTCCAATTTCTTATTAAAATGAGCCTTTTTCACATCTTGACTGATATTTTCAATGATGTCAACAACATTTTCAGGACGTTGATCTAAAATTCTAGTCAGCATCTCACAGAGATGATCGTATCTACCCAAACAGAGAAAATTCCAGAAAAGGGCATTAGACTTTCTAAGTGTAGCAAATAAAACTGATGAAAGTGCAAAGACTTAGGCATTCAAGGAGCCTGAAAACTTTCAGGCTTACTGAGATATTAATTGCTTATACACTGATGACACCTTCTGTCTCCTCAGAAAGTCTCTTGCACTTTCAGAGGGAGAAGGCACCTTAACATAAGTGCCACAGGGTTCTGTCCTGGGCCCTCTTCACTTTTCCCTCTCTACTACTTCATTTGGTTTTCTCATCAGCTACTTATCCTGCTTCAATTTCATCAGCTCTCATGGATTTAATTACCATCTCTATACTGATGATTCTCAAATCTACTTATCCTGCCCCAATCTCTCTTCTGACCTCCAATCTCATCCCATCTCCAAATGCCATTCATCTCAAGCTGGATGTCCAGCAGACATTTAAAACTCAACATGTTGAAAACTCACCCCTCCTACCTTCCCTATTACTGTAGAGGGCAACACCATCCTTCCTGTCCCTCAGACTCATAACTTTAATAACAATTTCTTGAGAGCTTCTTTAGTATGAATCAGTTCTCCAAGGAATGATTACCTCAAAGTTGACCGACAAAATTGAGTATCTTAACCTGCAGATGTGAAAATTTAACCCTAGACCTGGGATCATCTGAAAAAGATGTCACTCAGTAAGGTCCAGAACTATCTGCCTTCTCTTTAATACCATATCATAACTACTATACATTATCTTAGAGCCTTTGATCTAGCCAAAAAAGTCTGTTCTCCATCACCACTATTCAACTTGATAATTTTCTGCCTTTAAATCTCTCTTTGCTATTTGTAATTCCCCTTATAATATCTATATAATATTGCCTTCCACGACATGGCTTAGATTCACTTCTTTCCAGAGTGTTTCCCTGATTTACATCTCTTGGTCCTACCAACAGATCACCAGGCCAACTGTATCCTTGAATCTCTTGCTCTCTTGTCTTATTGTTGTTCACATCTTGACAACTTCCAACCTTGGTTTACCTCTACTATTGCTTTCCCTATTACCTGGCTGCTGCTGCTCACCATCTGAAGAAGTCAAACAACCATACTAATTAAGTCCATTAAAATTTTATGTTATTTTATCTCAATTTGGCACTCCTAGCTGCATATTAATCCTTTCACTCCTTCTTGAATGGCTATTGCATTCCCCTACAGAACCTGTTCTAAATTATTTCTTCTCTCCTCAAGCCTCTCATATAATGTCATCCTCTTCCTTCTGATCAGAGGACCTACATGTTTAACCACTCCTCCATTTCCTTTGTTGGGTCCTTATCCATGCCCAACTTCTTAACCAAGGGTGATCAGCAAGGTTCTGTCCTAGATCCTCTTCTCTTTCTACATTCTATTTCTTGGTGACCTCATTAATTCCCATAGGTTCAATAATAATCTGTATTCAGATGACTTCCAAATATACATATCCAATCTTTCATTTCTCTCATCTTTTGTACTCATTCACTTGCCTGGTCTTGGCTGTTTTTCCTTCACGATATCTTTGCCATTTTTCCCCTTCTTTGCAATCATAACCAAGTAGACTGGTTCAGGTTCTCATCAATAATTGCTTGGATTATGGCAATAGCTTCTTATTTTGTCTCTCTATATCTAATGTCTCCCTACTCTGATCCATCCTCCATACAGCAGCCAAAGTGATATTCTTAATGCACAGCTCTGGCCATGTTACTCCTCTACTCAAAAGTGACTATTGCTTTAGAATAAAATATGAATTCTTCTGTTTGGTATTTAAAGCCTTCCACAGTCTGGCTCCCACCTACCTCTCCATTGTTATTACCTATTACTCTCTTTCACATATTCTATAGCCAAACTGCCGTACTATCAATTCCCTAGATGTAATATTCTATTTCTTTCCTGAATGCCTTTGTACATCCCATTGTTTGCATGCTCTTGCTTTTCATCTCAGCCTCTCAGAAGCCCTAGCTTCTTTTTAGGCTCAGCTCTGGTGTCAATTCCTACGTGAAAACTTTCCTGTTCCCTTGACTTGTTCTTGAGTGCTCCTTCCTGAAATTACATATTTTTAAAATATACTTTACATTTATGAATGTTTACATGTTGTATATCTTCTCTTTAGCATTCAAAGCCCTTCATAATCTAGCCCCTCCCCTCCCTTTTTTAGTCTTTTTTCACCTTCCACTCCCATCCAATGTCACTGTGCTTCAAACAAGACACTCCACCTCTCAGTTCCAGGCATTTTCACTTAACTGTCCCCCATGCCTGGAATGCCCTCCCTCATCTCTGCTTCGTGGCTTCTCTTGCTTCTTTTAAGACTCAGCTAAAATCCCACCTTCTATAAGAAGCCCTTCCCTATCCCTCAATTTTAGTGCCTTTCCTCTGTTAATTATCTCCTATTTATTCTGTATACAGCTTGTTTTTACATAGTTGTTTGCATGTTGTCTGCCCCATTACAATGGCAACAACTGACTTTTGCCTTTCTTTGAATCTCTAGTACTTAGAAAATGCCTGGCACATAACAGGTATTTAATAAATGCTTACTGACTATACACACACACACACACACCCCAAATATATGTTTCACACACATATGTATGTATATATATATGTGTGTGTGTCATATATACATATGTATATATTTTTCATATGAATTCTCCTCAAATGAACTGTCAAATTTTCTAAGGCAGAGATGTTTTATTTTGTACAAATCCACTTCCTTAACATACTTCTATGCAAAGTATAGTAAGGACCATATTGCTTATTAATGAATTACTTTCCTATTTATGCTGGTTACTATTATGCTCTGGTATATTTATATTAATGAACTTTTTGAAATCAAGAAAAGAGTTTGCATATCTTGAATAGGTATCAAGAGTAAAGAGCACATTATTCTCATATACAGGGGGACACCAATAGGCAAGGTGAGTTTTCATTGATCTGTAATTACTTAAATAGTCAGTATGTGCTAAACACTGTACTAGGCACTGGGATTCAAACACAAAAATCAAACAAACTCTAACTTCAAAGAGTTTATATTCCATTGATTTTCATGTTTCATAGATTTATATATGTTGGATACTATCCTCAGCATTGTATAAGTAGTACTCACTTTTTTTGGGGTAATTTTTGCATATAAAAACTGGCATCATTTTTATTCATGTTTATCAAGATGCTTATTTGAGGATATGCTTAAATTTGCTTTTAATGTGAATGATGCCCCTTCTACATCATTGGCCAGTCTCCAATTTTGTCTTTTTCTTGTTTCCTGGAATAGATAAAGGCTTTTATGACCAGGAGAATTGTTTTGTTTTGTTTTGTTTTGTTTTTTACTCTTTATCAAAATCTATGGAAAAGGAAAACTAGTGATAATTAATAAGAAAAGTAAACTCTCTAGCCTAAACAAATTCTAGCTTTAAATAATTAAGTAGAAGTAATATTTTAACTATTTTACCCTACTTTTGGTTTTGTGAAAATATAGAATATTCTTTAAATATAAACAAAATGAGCTATTTTACTACTACTGTCTCTGATATTTAAGTAAACAGATTCAATTCACTACACATGAAAACCAACCAGGCATTCAACAAAATGTTTGTTGATTGATAGGCATAACTGAGAACCATTAATTTATGGAAAGAAATGTTATTACTATGTGCCTAGGCTTCATCAAACTACTAGCCAGATAACCATTTAACACATCCTGGGCTTCCAGTCTTTTGTCACTTTCTTTACTAATAGGACTCTTCTGAAGACACACTCATACACACACACTCAATTACTTAGTTATATTCCTCTTTCCTCAGTCAATATCTATTTATCTAAGACTCACAGATTTAGGCCCGATTTGCTACTTTTCTTCAGCAGATATGCCTTAGCATTCTGGGCAGCAATCTCTAGCTTACTAGGTGCAGCAGGTTCAGGTGCACCCTTTTGCGTTAGCCCAAGTTCTAGCTGAGAGAGATCAGAGTTACTGTTGGATTCATCATGATGAAAAATGTCTGCATTTGTGTGTTCTTCTGGTGGATTGATGTTCTGATTCATGTCCTGGGGAAGATACTGGGGTTGTTGGGAAAGGTAAGAGGAGGATTCCTCTGATCCAGTAAAGTGAAGAGTTGCTTCTCTTTCATAAGGAACTTGTTCTGAATGGCTAGGACGAGGCTCCCCAGCCACTGAAATTGCATGACTGTCATGTTCAGTCTTGGTAGGTGAGGTAAGGCCCTGTGGACCTGGCCTCAGCTGAGGAGGACCTTCTGAACTTAGTTCTGAAGAGGCAGGGCTAACTGCAGCGTCTGGTTCTGCTGGGGGTGCTCCAGAGGCTCTCCCTCCAGATCCGGAGCTCTGAGGTGGAGTCCCATCCCTGGACTGGGGCTCGGGTGCCGACTCCTTTTCCTCCTTAAGGGAATCAGCTACCTCGGGTTCAGGGTCTTGGGACGAAGAAGGTGGAGCAACTTCCCCAGGCTGCCCGCCTTCCCTGGCTCCCCCCTCCTCTTGCTTTTCCTGCTGATCTTCCTCATGGGATTCCTCGGGCTTGGGGGAGGCAAAGACTTCCATGGCTTTTGCGAGAGACGATAGATGTGGATTTGTGGGTACTGGCTTTATATGAAGGGGTGCGCGTGGGGCTCGAGGACAAGGGGCGCCAGCAGATCTGCTCCAGGGACTCCGGCGGCTTGGGGACCCGTTTCCATAGCAACTTCAGAGGAGGAGGGGCGGGCCGTCTCTAAGGTAAACATAGCGTAGTTTTGCTTAGACTGGTAAAGGGATGGGGGAGTGGGGAGTGGCTTGGGGAACTGCAGTAATGATTTGATCGTGGTCCTGCCCTTCTCACAAATCAACCAATTGTGTATCTTAAATAGCAAATAGGTCCCGCCCAGAAGAAAGATGACTGGGCTCTGTCCTTTGGGGGACATTACTGGTGCATCCATATTTTCTTTGTTGGGGAGATGGATGTAGATGAAGGATTTACCTGCACTTGTAAAGGCTCGAGTCTAGACAGGAGGTGATTAGTTTCAGCTGTGCTTCATCACCCTACTTCAGCTGAACAGACCCCAAATTTATTGACTGCCCCTTATTGACTGCACAGCTGTTTGGTTATAGATGGAAGAGGGGAAAGAGGGTGTGGAAAAGTTAACAACGCGATAAATAAAGTATGGCTACTTAAATGCATCCCCATCTCCACAGAGATTAATTCTCAAAGTCTCTGGGTTTCTAGGTGGGGGTTAGGGGACACTTTCTTAGTTTGACAATTAAAACTTCTGTAAGGAATTTCATGCTTTGCCATTCCTCTTTCAACACTCGTTAGATATGTGCAGAAAGCATTGTGTTGGGGAAGAAGGAGAGGGGAGAGAGGAAGATGAAAGTTCAAGTGATCCCATTTCAACTCATCTCCAGAGATTTCCTCCACTATCATTTCCACTCTCTCAGTAATCTTCAATATCTCCCTTTCTAGTGATTGCTTCCTTACTGCCTAAAACATGCTCATGTCGATCCCGCACTCAAAACACCCTCACTTGATCCACACATCCACACTAGCTATCATCCTATATATCTCCTCCTTTCTATGAGAGATCTCCCACAACTCCTTGAGATGGCCATTTAAAATTGGTGCCTCTATTTCCTTTCCTCTTACTCTCTTCTTAATTCTCAGTGGTCTGGCTTCCAACATCATCATTCATCTGAAACTATATTCTCCAAAGTTGCCAATGATCAATTTGCCAAATCTAATTGCTTTTTCTTAGTTTTCATCCTTATCAACACCAGCAGCCTCATATATTGTTGATCAGCCTCTTCTCCTTGATACTTTGTTCCTCTACGTTTTCATGAAACTGCTCTCTCCTGTTTCTTTTCCTACTTGCCTGATTGCACCTTCTCAGTTTCCTTTGCTGAATCTTCATCCGGGTCACTTCCATTAACTGGATTTTTCCAAGACCTTGTATGGGATCATTTTTTCTTCTCCTTAGTCTATACTATTTTTCTTGTTGTCTCAAAACCCCCCATGATTCAATTATCACCTCTCATATCTACTTATCTAGCCCTAACCTCTTTCGAATCTCCAACTACCTATTAGATAGCTCAAACTCATGTCCTATAGACATCTTAAACTCAACATGTCCAAAATGGAACTCATTATCTTTCTCCCCAAGAACTCCCCCTTTCCTAACTTCCCTGTTATGGTTGAGGATATTACTGTCCTCACAATCACCTAGACTGACAACCTAGCTGTCACCCTCAAATCCTCACTTACATCACTCTGTCCCCTCTCCAATCTCTTGTCATTTTTTTACCTTTGAAATATCTCTGGTATATTACCACCTTCTCTTCCCTGACACTGTCCCTACCCTAATATAGGCTCTCATTACCTCATGCGTGGACTATTGCAATAGGCTTCTGGCTTGTCTCTCTGCCTCAAGTTTTTCCTCACTCAGGTCCATTCTCCATTTTCAAAACCCACACAAAAGTGACAATATAAAGGCTAAGTAAACAGGATGACTACACACTCAAAGATACTTGGATAAGCCTCAAAGTTATCTGTAAATTATTTTTCTATTTTTTTCTACTAAGTGTTTAATATCAAGACTATCTGGTGGTTTTGTTTTTTATTCCTAAATATGAGCTCTTTATGAGTTAAAAGAAAATTGTATAATATTTAAATCCAGGAAAATAAGATTACTGCGAAAAACATCTCAAAATATTAGCAAAGTATTACCTAAAAAGTGTATGCTGATGTAGTGGTACTCCAAAAATTAGTGTATTTATAGTATATTAAAAGCCCTGACCTTTCTATTATATATGTATCTAGTCTGCAGCATTCTTGATTAAGAGTAAATGGCCAGGATGATTATTCTGTTCTCAAACTTTCAGTTTTATTGGAAGACATGAACATTAGATTCAAATGTATAAAGTTACCAAAATTAGATGCAGTTTAATTAAGTAATTATGTCTAATTAAAGAGGCTTCCCTTTCCCTTGATTGACTAAAGACAGGGATAGGAAAGAAGTGTGGTGACATTAAATAAAACTATTAAATATTCTGTTGCAAATTGGAGGTGCTTTTCCTAGTAATTCCTTTTGTCTAAAAGTCTAAAGTCTAACAAAAAAATGAAAAAAGACTAAATAACATTATGCAACTAGGAAAGATTACATTTTAACATTGTTTTGTGGACTCAGCACAGTACAGAAGGAAATTTCTACCATAATTTTCTTATAGTACCTAAATTTATATCTTTAGTGCTATTGCTAAGTATTTTTAAAATCCTATGTTTAGAGTATACTCTTAGACTAGGCTTCTTAATCTTCTATATTTAGAAGAAGTAAAATATAAGCTCCTAGAAGGCAGAAACTTTTCTTTTTTTGTCTTTGTATCCCCAGTACCTAGCACAGGGCCTTGGCACTAAATGTTTGTTAAGTTTTAAACTCAATTATATTTTCATAGTTTCATTAGAAACTACAGGAGGAAAACCAGTATGTTTTCTTTACTAACATCACAAATGTCAATACTATATACACCATATGGGAGAACTTAACTAGGTTTCTTATTTATTATTTCCAAGAATTCCTTTTAGTTTATATTAAACACTGAAATGTCCCAATGAATGCATATTTCAAATAATCTTGATAATTATAATTTATTTTTTAACTTCTTATCATACCTGATTACAGCCAGTTCTCACTTAATGTAAGTGGACCTCCCTTTACCCTCTCAGGGTTCTGCATGGCCCTGTCTCTGCACTTCATTGCCTGGAATGGAGGAGCCCTGGCATAGGACTGCACCAGTGTCTAGCATCTTTGGTACCTCAGCTCCACAGGACAGTTGAATTTACATAATGCAAGTTATGTAAAACAAAAACTGTCCATATGTCAAAGTTTGTTTACCTCATTTCATAGCTAATTAGAAGCTCCTATTAGGATTAAGGTTGTGTCAACTCTGCCATTTATATGGGCTTTCATTATTTGCATTATTTTCAGTTTGTGGTTTCTTTTTGATCCATCTGTTCAGTTTTTTGAAGGTTAGTTTTATTAATGCTAGATAATGTAATCTGCAAATACTATTTACCAGGCACATGTTAGCTACAATGCATTGTGATTTTCTGAGAGCAAACAGACTAGTGAGGGTGCTATAGTCAACTCCTTCTAATGATGAAACTCTTACTCTTCTCATAGAATTCCGAGTTTTCCATATGTGACACATTGCCATCTGACATAAAGACTAATAAAGGGGTCCAGTGTCATCCTATATAGTGAATATTAATACAGCTTGAATTTTTATCTTATTTTAGACAAACTATATATGTATGTGTATAGATGTGTATATGTATATATTCTACTATTTTCTTCCCAAACCTCAGTGTGTCCACCAACTTTGAAAATGATTGACTTATAAAAACATACTTAAAATGTGAAGACTCAAACACAATTAAAATGACTAGCTAAAATAAAACTTATTATGCAAATTCAAAACAGGAAAAATAGTAGCAATGATTTTGGAGAATGTTCTCTTTCCACTCCATTCTGCAACTCTCTTCTTGCTCATCTTTCATTTTTGATATGGGTGAGTTCAGTACTTTAAGGCAATAGTAGTAATAGATACCGTAAGGAGAGACAAATAAGAGAACTTAAAATTTTCTTTATGCTTGAAAGCATCCATGAAAAAGATACCCATGAAACAGTATTAATATTCCAAATGGATCTGTAATTTTCGTTAATTTGTGCATTCCTCACAATGATGTGGACTTCAACCGATCTATTCTTATGCATCCTATGCAATTTTTATCTATTTTTTCCTATTACTTCACCCCTGAATAGTAATACACCCAATGTGCAAGAAGGCTTTCTTGAGTTCTCTTGACATAACAGTGGAGCATATGTGCCATTCATAAGAAAGTTCTTCATCTCAAAACTCTTGGCACTATCACATGGTTCAAAAATAGAAACAATCTGCTTTGGGGAACTGCATAAGTTGCTAGCTTACTTACTGGAAAATTCTGTGAAGAACTATGGGAGACAGCATGCTACAATGAAAAGAGCAGAACTATCATGTACTAATTCCCACAGTCACCATATACAATCCAGAGGTCAAGCTATAGGCGTCAACTCCAAAGGCTATCTTGTTACAGACGTAACAGACCCAAAACACAGCCCCTAGAAGCTCCCCCCACCTCCCACTCCAGGTTTCCAGTAGAGAATGATGAGTGTGCCCAAGGTACAGAAACTGTATGTTCCTTTCCACCTCAAACTACCTAATTAGCATACTTGGCACACCAGGCATGAACTTTTTCTCTATAAGCTTTAGATTCAACGCCTTTAGGTTGCAAGTTACTTAAATAGCTCCACCTGCTTTATTAACGTTATAATAAACTTTTGCCACTTGACCAGAAGGCTGCTTGAGTCCTCGAATTTTTTCCCTGTACTTCAATAGTTTTTGGGTCCCTGCACTCCTAAAACCACATCAGTCAGACCTACAATTGGAGAAGATTAATTTGACAGTTGAGTGGAGAATGGAGTAGGGAGTAGGTAGTAGGGAGCAGGGAGAAACTTTAGGCAGGGAGACCAACCAGG